ATATAAAGTAGATATTCTTAGATTAGAGAGCAAATTTTAATTTTGAAATGAATTATTCGGCTGTTTTATTAAATTTAATTTTTCTGTGCTGCCTAGACTTATATCGGGTCTCGGGTTTTATAGACTGCTCGCCTTATTTTCTTGATCGTTTTTGTGGTAAGTTAACTATTTTCATACGTAAAAATTTATTATAAGAAAGATTCGTTCACACAATAGTCTTCGTTAATACATATAAAAAAAATTAATTCCTCAAAATCAATTTTAGCATTAAAGGATGGAGAATTTGCAGTGGAATGTGGAAGAAAATTTAATATCTCCAGAGTAAATAGTTACTTTGTCGTTTAATTTTAAAGACAACATGCTTTAAGTAAATACAAAATTAATTATTTTCAGCCTTTTGACGTTTATGAAAATTGTTTTGATTCAGTTAATCCAGATGGAAAACGTTGGGAAAATGCGGAAAAACTCGAAAGACTGTGTAAACTTGATCACGATGTAAGTAATTTTACTTATAAAATAATATCTATAACAAATCAATGCAATATAAGGAAAAGTAAAACAATTCTACGCATAATATATTAATTTACAATTGTTATATTTATGACTTTTATTTATTAATTATTTTTTTAGGTATATAATGCTGTCAAACAATGTTACCAAACAGCAGCATACATTGACTTGAAACAAACTAAAACAGTATTTAAAATAACCGAGGTAAAAAACTTTAAATTATATTTGATTACATTGTAATACTGTATATATATACATTATAGAACTTTAGTACTATATGTAGTACTATAATATATATTATAGATACTACATATTTTTAATATTTTAAGTATTTATTTATTATTTAAATTTGAGATATGCAACTACCTTTTTTTTCTTATTTATATGTTCATGATTTTTGATTTTTCTTTTAGTAATATTTTAGAATAATTTTTAAATTTACTGCTTTCATTTTTTTCTATATTAATTAAATTATTTTAGAAATAACTTTGATTTCATGTAAAAATATTTCATAGTAGTCTAAAGTAATTTTTATTTCTAAGACAATAAGATATTATTTTACTCTTGTATAGTGTTGTTTCGTTAACCTATATAAATATGCAATATTTATATAGGTTATTGAATTTATATTATTTGTGTAATATAGAATATTTATTACATATGCATTTAATGCTATACTTAATCTAACGAATTATATATGTTATCTCTATTATCATTTTAAGACATAGATAAAGAGCTTTATTAAACTCTTTTTCTTTTATTATTGCGAAATTTCTATGTTGTTGTAGTAAATATATATGCTAATTTGAGTTTTATTTTAAAATATAAAAAAGTGTTTTTAATTAAATATTGTTCTGTATTCCTAAAAATCAATTCTTTTTTAAATATTTGGTTTTATCAAATCGTTACGGATATTTATTGTTTAATGAAAATTCTAATTTTTATACTTGTTAATTTTCTTTTCAATCGATTTTACACGTATTTATTATTTAAAAATTTCCCGTGATCCGCCAGACTAGTTCACTGGGCCACCATCAGCGGCGCTGTGTGTTGTTTGCTAACAGAGTTGCCAGTAAGGATGATAAATTACCGATACTGGCAACTCTGGTTAGTCGCACTTTGGACTATCGTTTTCAGGTAAAGATTTTGGAAGGATGGTCCTTCCAAAATCTGTTCATCACTACATTAAATCACATTGAGTTGTTTAAGTCTCTATTAATGTCATAATGCTTTAGAGATATATGAGGCGTAATACTGAATTATCATGTGACTATTGTTAATCCGGCAAAATCGATAATCCAACAGGTTCTAAAACCATGGGGACCGGGAGAATCTGTGGTGTACTAGGAACTTTGAAAATATAATTTCTATTATCAAAACTTTTTTCACTGCATCTTACATTCACTGCAACGTGCAGTACATATAATGCAGTAGGTTGAGAAGAGAAAATTAAGTTTCTT